GATGGCTATCGCCTCCCACTTCCCCCCTCCCCACAATAGGCCCCGGTATGTGACGTCCCCCTCCGTGTTCCAAGTGATCTCATTGTTCAAATCCCACCTATGGGAGTGAGAACATGCAGTGTTTGGTTTCTGTTCTGCAATAGTTTGCTGAGAATGATGGTTTCCAGCTGCATCCATGTCCCTACAAAGGACCAACCAAACCTCATCCTTTTTTAAGCTATGGTACATGGTTATAATGCACCCCCCCCGCCCTTTTCCTAATCCAGTGCTGTCACTGATTTTAGACATTTGGATTTAAGGACTTGCTTTATGAATCTGGGTGCTCCTGTATTGGGTGCATATATATTTAGGATAGTTAGCTCTTCCTGATGAATTGATCCCTTTACCATTATGTAATGGCCTTCTTTGTCTCTTTTGATCTTTGATGGTTTAAAGTCTGTTTTATCAGAGACTAGGAGTGGAACCCCTGCTTTTTTTTGTTTTCCATTTGCTTGGTAGATCTTCCTCCCATCCCTTTATTTTGAGCCTATGACACACATGTCTTTACACACAGAACTGCATACACATAACAGCTATACATACATCCCACACAGTCACATGCACACACATGAAAACATACATACATGCACTTAGGCTGTCTCACATACACAGCTATGTACTTCACACAGGCACACACATTATTATAACAACATGTTTTCTTTTCTTTACAGCCCTTATTCGTTCTCTCAGCTATTTACTGAGTACTTACTGTGTGCTAGCTACTGTTAAAAGTCCTTGAGCTAAATCATTGAACAAAATGGGGAAACATATCTGCCCTCATGAAGCTTAGATTCTAATGGAAGGAGAGAGAGGCAAAAATAGTAAGTAGATATGTTAGCAGGTAGTGAGTATTAGGGAAAATAGTGCCTAGTAATGAGGAGTAGGAAGAACTAACTTGGAGGTGGGTTGCCAATTTGAGAAGGTGATCAAGGTAAGCTTCATTGAGAAGTTGACAAAAATATTTAGCAAGGAAATAAAGTAGGAGAGAGAGTTATCCATGTAGATATCTATGAAAAATCAGTCTGAGAAGAGAAAACAGCAAGTGCAGATACCCTAAGGCAGAGTGTGCCTTCAAGAAACAGGAAGAAAGACAATGTAGTTGATGTGCAGTGAATAAGGGGGTAAAGGAACAGGACATAAAGCCAGAGATGAAGAGAGCATGTGAAAATCATACCGGACCTTGAATAATGAGGTAAAAACTCTGAAGTTAATTTTGCATGAAATTGAGATTCACTGGTGGGTTCTGAGGAGAGGTGTGACATGATCTGACCTCTGATTTATCCTTTATGGTATATAAGATGAACTTAATTATTTTACACGTTATTATCTGTCTCACTTCTGAACAGGAATGAATCTGTCATGCTCATCTCTGTGTCTATCTGAGAGTAGCACTCAGTCAATATTTGTTGACTAATTGATAAGGACAGATATTTCCGAGGAGAAAGGTGTTCTGAGGTGCTCCAGTTTGGGTGTTTGCTCCCAATAAACCTCATATTGAAATTTGAGATGGAGCCTAACAGGTGTTTGAGTCATGAAGGAGAATCCCTCATGAATAGATTAATGCCCTCCCTCAGGAGTGAGTGAGTCCTGATCCTATTATTCCCCACAAGAGCTGGTTGTTGAAAAGAGCCTGGCATCTCCCCACTATCTCTCTTGCTTCCTCTCTCACCATGTCATCTATGCCCACACCAGCTCCCTTTCACCTTCTACCATGAATAGAAGCATCCTGAGACCCTTGCCAGCTGCAGATGCCCAATCTTGAAATTTCCAGCTATCAGAATCATGGGCCTAATAAACATATCTGAAATAAATTACCCAGCCTCAGATATTTCTTTATAGCAACAAAAAATGGACTACAACAGGAAATTGTTGCCAGGGAGGAGGATGTTGCTATAAAGATACCTGAAAATGTGAAAGAAGCTTTGGAACTGGGCAATGGAAAGAGGTTAGAAGAGTTTGGAGGGCTCAGAAGAAGACAAAGAATTGAGAGAAAATTTGAAACTTCTTAGAGAGTGGTTAAACGGTTGTGACCAAAATGCTGTCAACCTAAAATAGTCAAAAGACTCAGCATCTAGTTAAAAGAGCTCATTGAAGCACAAAGTATGAGTGCAACCATGCAGGGAGCACAGCTATTCCAAAGAATGGTGAGCAGTTCTCCTGGTGTAGGGGAAAATGAGGATTGCTTATACCGGCAAAATGAAGTTGATGAACAAAATTACAACATTTTCCATAAAAAAGGCTAACATATAGATATAAGATTTCATTGGCTACTTTTGATGACACTCTAAGGGCATAGTTTAACATTCTATGAAAAGGAGACAGTCCACAAGGGTCTCTGTCTTCATGTTGTTTAGTTCAGATTTGAATAAAGAAGAGTCTAGTTAATGTATAACATCTCAACACAAAGGTCAGAAAGCAAGGGTCATGCACCAGAGTCGGGGGAAGTTGTGTTACCTCAGTCAGCTTTCAGGGCTTAGGTTTTCCCTTTTGCACGATAAATTTGGAAGGTCCTAAATTTAAATTTTTTACAATGCTGATAGAAATATAGACAGTACAGGCCATGCTGAAAAGTTTCAGATAGAAATGAGAAACATGTTGAGAGCTGGGTCAAAATTGACCCATGTTACTCTGTAGCAAAGAACTTGGGTGCACTGTGTCCATGCCCTAAGGCTTTGTGGAAGGCTGAATCAAGAGTGATGACCTACGGTGTCAGGTGCAAGAGATATCTAAGCAGCAAAGTGTTCAAGAAGTGGTGTGGTTACTTTTAATAGCTTATGCTAAATCGTGACAGCAAAGGAATGACCTAAGACTGTGTTTATAATTAAAGGTGAAGAACAGCACTAAATTTGGAAAATTCTCAGCCTGGACATAGTGGTAGAGAAGACAAGACAATTTTCAGGAGAGGAATCCAAGGATGTGTCAGAATAACTCTTTGCTAAAGCATGACTAAAAGGGGGCCTGGTGCTAATAGGATAATTAGGAAGAAGGTTCCAAAGGCATTTCAGAAACCTTTGAGGCTGCTCTTCCCAACACAGGCCCAGAGACCAAGAAAGACAGAATGGTATTAATTCTGCAGGCACCCAGAATGTAGGAGCCATAGATGCTTTGTGGTAAGATCCTCTACAAAGAATTCCCACTAGGGAAATCCTCATGAAGCCATAGAAGTGGGGCCACCCCCAAGACACAGAACTGTAGGATCACCAATTTGCAACTCCAGCCTGAGAGAGCTGAAGCATGGGCTGAGACCAGCTTTAAGTCAATGTTGGCCAGGCATGGGGGCTCATGCCTGTAATCTCTGGGAGGCCATGATGGAAGGATCACTTAAGTTCAGGAGTTCAAGACCAGCCTGGAGAACATAGTGAGACCCCGTCTCCACAAAACATTAAAAAATTATCTGGGCATAATGGCATGTGCCTGTAATCCCAGCTGCTCAGGAGGCTGAGGTGGGATGGTTGCTTGAGCATGATAGATTGAGGTTGCAATAAGCTGTGATCACACTACTGCACTCCAGCCTGGGCAAATAGAGTGAGACCCTATTTCCAAATAAAATAAATATAAAGAGATATAAAGACTTTTTTTCCCTGTTGAGTTTTGGACTTACTTGGACAATGTTGGGTTGGAACAGGGAAGAGAACATGTCAGACTCTGAGTGTAGCCGGCAGGTGGACCCGATGGCTTTTTCACATCCTTGTGTGAAAGAAAAGAGTCAGGAAAGTCTCTAAGATTTGATGTTGTAAGAGCTGGAGGAATAGGAGTGTCATTTGCTGAGATGGATAAAACCATACCTGGAATGGGAGAGGACAGGGAAGGATATGATCAACCTCTTAGCTTTGGACAAAGTATGTTTGAGATGTCTGTTCGATATCCAGGTGGAGAAGTCAGGCAGGTGAGGATGCAGGAGAGAAAACCAGGCTGGATACACACATGTGTGGGCCATTGGCAAGCCACATGGTATCCAAGCTATGACATTTGATGAGGTAATGTACAGAGTGAGTGTGGATAAAGATGAGGAGGAATCAGCCAAAGAGAAGGAAAAAGCAAGAGGAAAACCAGACAAAAGTGGTATGCTGGAACCAAGCAAAGCAAAGAATTAAAAGAGCGTTCATCAAGCCCATGTGAGCTCCATTTCTCTCTCTTTGGTTGAAGCAATAATTTTCTGTCAGTCCTGGGCATAAATCTGCTTCATGCCCCTTGGGTTGAAAGTGCAAGTCCAGTTGGCCTCAAATGCGCTAATTTTGTAATGTCCATAAACTTGGCTAGGAGGACTGCTGTTACTCTTTGAAAGACTCCAAAGTCATCCACTGTCAATGATTAGCTGTGCTGTCTTTCCAAGAGTGCAGGGATTGTGAAGTTGTTTTCTTGAGTTACCGTGCTCTCTTCCAAGGCTGTAGGAATTCTGGAGCTGCTGGCTGGAGAGGAGGGTGGTCCAAGCTGTCCCCAGAAAGACCTCCAGAGAGGACTTGGCAGGTGAGCACTGTTTCAAGGAATGGACTGATGGGGTCATAATCCATGATAATCTCACCAATCTTTTAGAGTCACGGCTGGTGAGAAGAGCAAAAATCCTCACAGAAAAGCAGAAATTCCTAGGGACCGTGAAAGAAAGTACCTGTCAAGTCTTAGTGAGGAGGAAACACTGGGCAGAGGAAAAGGTACCTTTATCACAGCAACAGGGAGAGACGAGGGCAGCTGGAAAAGGGTGGTAACAGGGCCTGGGAGTGGGGTGGTTGTCAGAGAAGGATGAATCTCAGAGGAGGTGAGGCCAGAAGAATGAGGAAGAGCCTATTATGGAAAAAGAAAGGGACCAGCAGGTACAAAGGCAATGCGTAGTTCTGCTCAGGAGCAGGTACAGAAATCTTCAATTCTTATTCTGTAGAAAAAAAGGAGACAGAAATATCAGACACTGTGATGGTTAATACTGAGTGTCAATTGATTGAATCGAAGGATACAAAATATTGACCTTGGGTGTGTCTGTGAGGGTGTTGCCAAAAGAGATTAACATTTGAGTCGGTGGGCTGGGAAAGGCAGACCCACCCTTAATCTGGGTGGGCACCATCTAATCATCTGCCAGCATGGCTAGAATATAAGCAGGCAGAAAAATATGAAAAGAGAGACTGGCCTAGCTTCCCAGTCTACATCTTTCTTCTGTGCTGGATGCTTCCTGCCCTTGAACATCAGAATCCAGGTTCTTCAGTTTTGGAACTCAAACTGGCTCTCCTAGCACCTCATATATATACTTATATATATGAGTTTATTAAGTATATATATTCCATTAGTTCTGTTTCTCTAGAGAATGCTGACTAATACATATTTTGGTACCAGAAGTGGTTCTAGAGGAATAGAATATTAAGGATGGAGTTGTTTTGTTGGTTTTGGGATTTATGGAGTTGGCTCCTTAATATGATTAGATCCCAAAATACTAAGGACTTTACTTCTAATAGTATGGAGACCACTGATAGTCCTTGATGTGAACTATTTAAAGAGTTATACAAAATAAATGCATTTGACACTCCTGATTCATTGCTCATGAGAGGCAAGGAGTTTAGTGACCCTACACATAATACCTTTGACCATACATGGAGAACCAAGGAACATAATGAAGCTGGTTGGTTGCTCCTAAGTTCAGTGGATAAAGTGATGAAAGAAAATGATGAACTCAGGGATTCTATCTCCCAGCTTCAGAAGCAGATATTGAGCCTCAAATCTGCCAAGATTGCCCTGAGTGAGAGTCTAATCTCCTGTAGAGAAAGAGCTGAAATTGTGGAAAAACAGACATAAGCTCTTATCATGTGAGTGGCTGACCTGCAATGAAACGTGCATGCCCAGCCTCACCAAGTGTCTACTGTTAAAGTGAGGGCATTGATTGTGTTGCAGGAAGTCAAGGACCCTGAACAGAGGGACCGGCTGGAGCTGAGGCAGAATATAAATTGTGAAGATTTCATGGACATTTATCAGTTCCCAAAATTAATACTTTTATAATTTCTTACGCCTGTTTTTACTGCAATCTCTGAACATAAATTGTAAGATTTCATGAACATTTATCACTTCCCCAATTAACACTCTTATAATTCCTTATGCCTGTCTTTAATGTCTTAATCCTGTTATCTTCATAAGCTGAGAATGTATATCACCTCAGGCCCACTATTGTACAAATGGATTGTAAAACGTGTGTTTGAACAATATGAAATCAGTGCATCCTGAAAAAGAACAGAATATCAGTGATTTTCAGGGAACCAGGGAAGATAACTATAAGGTCTGACTGCCTGCAGGGTCAGGCAGAATAGAGCCATATTTTTCTTCTTGCAGAAAGCCTATAGACAGATGTGCAAGTAGGAGAAATATCACTCAATTCTTTTCCCAGCAAGGAACAACCCTGGGGAAGGAATGCATTCATGGGGGTAGGTCTATAGACGGCCACTCTGGGAGTGTCTATCTTATGTGGTTGAGATAAGGACTGAAATGTGTCCTGGTCTCCTGCAGTACCCTCAGGCTTACTAGGATTGGGAAATTCCAGCCTAGTAAATTCTAGTCAGACCGGTTTTCTGCTCTCAAACCCTGTTTCCTGTTAAGATGTTTATCAAGACAATGTGTGCACAGTGGGACATAGACCCTCATCAGTAATTCTAATTTTGCATTTGCCTTGTGACTTTTATCGCCCTTTGAAGCACATGATCCTTGTGACCTACTCCCTGTTCGTACACCCTCTCCCCTTTTAAAATCCCTAATAAAAACTTGCTGGTTTTATGGCTTGAGGTCGCCATCATGGTCCTACCAATATGTGATGACACCCCCGGAGGCCTGGCTGTAAAATTTCTCTCTTTGTACTCTTTCTCTTTATTCCTCAGACCATCTGACACTTAGGGAAAATAGAAAGAACCTATGTTGAAATATTGGGGGCTGTTTCCCCTGATAAATTGGAAAAGAATAAGACCCTGCAATTTGGAATGGGAACGTGTGGGAGGACCCTGGTGAAGCTGGGGACACTGAGTTTCTAAACTCTGGTGAACTTTTTTTGCCAGAAGAAACAGCTTCCCACCCACCCAGTAGTGGCAGCATTCCCTCCCTAACCCATGCTGCCATCAGCCTTTCCACCTTTGTCTGAGGGGATAAATTCTGCACTGCCTGAGGCAACAGTGATGGCCTCCCCTGAGGTGGTTGTCAAGCAAGACAATGTTGATTCTCCTCAGGAGCCACCCCCAACACTCCTGTTTGCTTCTAGACTTATAACTAGACTAAAGTCCCGGTGGGCCCCTAGAGGTGAGGTTGAGAGTGTGACACATCAGGAGGTTCACTACACTAGATAATAACTGCTTGAGTTTTTAATTTATATAAACAGAAATCTGGAGAACAGACATGGGAATGGATATTAAGGGTGTGGGATAATGGTGGAAGGAACATAGAGTTGAATCAGTCTGAATTTATGGATTTCGGCCCATTAAGTAGGGATTCTTCATTTAATGTTGCAGCTTGGGGAGTTAGAAAATGTTATAATAATTTATTTGCTTGGTTAACTGAAATATGGATTAATAGATGGCCCACCATGAGCGAGCTAGAAATGCCTGATCTCCCCTGGTTTAATGTAGAGGAAGGGATCCAAAGACTTAGGGAGATTTGGATGGTGGAGTGGATTAGTCACTTTAGACCTACTCTTCCCAGCTGGAAGCATCCAGAAGATGTACCCTTGACCAATGCCTTACAAAATACATTTGTGAGGGCAACACCTGCCTCTCTGAAGGACCCTGTAATTGTTCTTCTCCGTATGTCAGATCTAACAGTGGGAACTGCAGTCACTCAACTAGAAAATTTAAATACAATGGGAATAATTGGATCCTGAAGTGGCAGGAGCCAAGTGGCAGCACCCATCCATCAAAGGCAAGGTAGACATCGCTACTGTAATGGACAGCAGAGGCAAAGTGGCAATTAGCATAGTCTGACTCCTGTAGAGCTCTGGCATTGGCTAATTAATCACAGCGTTCCCAGAAATGAAATTGATAGGAAGCCTAATTTATGCAAGCAGAAAACTTCTAGGTCAAATGGACAAAAGACTAATTTGAATTATAAAAACAGAATCATGGCCCCTCAATCATTTTCCAGACTTGGGCCAGTTTACAGACCCAGAACACCTTGAATAAAGGGGAGGCCAGGTCCCCTTGAGGAAGGACCCCACTACATTACCAACAATTTATGCAGTGAATCTTTATCCCATCCTTCCCCAAGGAGACCTCCGGCCTTTTACTAGGGTAGCTATGCATTGGGGAAAGGGAAATTATGAGACATTTAAGGGACTACTGGACACTGGCTGTGAGTTGATGTCGATTCCAGAGGACCCAAAACATCATTGTGGTACTCCAGTTAAAGTAGGGGCTTAGGGAGGTCAGGTGATTCATGGAGTTTTAGCTCAGGTCCAACTTAAAGTGTGTCTAGTGGGTCCCTGGACTCATCCTCTGGTCATATACAAAACACTGCTGAAAGAAATCATAGATGACACAAACATATGGAAACACATCCTATGCTCATGGATGGGTAGAATAAATATTGTAAAAATGACTATATTGCCAAAAGCAATATACAAAATCAGTGCAATTCCCATTAAAATACCACCATCATTCTTCACAGAACTAGAAAAAATAATCCTAAAATTTATATGGAACCAAAAAAAGAGTCCTCATAGCCAAAGCAAGACTATCCAAAAAGAACAAATCTGGAGACATCACATTACCAGATTTCAAAATATACTATAAGGCCATAGTCACCAAAACAGCATGGTCCTGGTATAAAAATAGGCACATAGAACCATGGAATGGAAGGAATGGAATAGAGAACCCAGAAATAAACCCAAATACTTACAGTCAACTGATCTTTGACAAAGCAAACAAAACCATAAAGTGGGGAAAGGATACTCTATTCAACCAATGGTTCTGGGATAATTGGCAAGCCACATGTAGAAAAATGAAACTGGATCTTTATATGTCACTTTATAGAAAAACCAGTTCAAGATGGAGCAAGGACTTAAATCTAAGACCTGAAACTATAAAAATTCTAGAAGATAACATCAGAAAAATCCTTCTAGACATTCGTTTAGGCAAAGATTTTATGACCAAGAAGCCAAAAGCAAATGCAACAAAAACAAAGATAAATAGATGGGACTTAATTAAACTAAAGAGCTTTTGCATGGAAAAAGGAATAGTCAGCAGAGTAAACAGACAACCCACAGAGTGAGAGAAAATCTTCACAATCTATACATCCAACAAAGCACTAATATTCAGAATCTAGAAGGAACTCAAACAAGAAAAAAAAAAAAATCCCATAAAATGTGGGCTAAGGACATGAATAGACAATTCTCAAAAGAAGATCCAACATACATACGAAAAAATGCTCAACGTCACTAATGATCAGGGAAATGCAAATCAAAACCACAATGCAATACCACGTTACTCTTGCAGAAATGGCCGTAATAAAAAAATTAAAAAATTATGGATGTTGGTGTGGATGTGGTGAAAAGGGAACACTTCTACACTGCTGGTGGGAATGTAAGCTAGTACAACCACTATGGAAAACAGTGTGGAAATTTGTCAAAGAACTAAAAGTAGAACTACCATTTGATCCAGCAATCCCACTACTGGATATCTACCAAGAGAAAAATAAGTCATTATACGAAAGAAGTCACTGCACATGCACATTTATAGTAGCACAATTCACAATTACAGGAATATGGAACCAGCCCAAATGCCTGTCAATCAACAAGTAAAGAAACTTGTGTGTGTATATATAATATATAATATATAATATTTATATATTTTTATAACTTTTTAATATTTCTATATAAATATAATATATCTGATTATATATAGTATAGTGTATATATAATTATATTAATATATGATATATATGAAATATATTCATATACATTT